GGGGGCGGGTGCATGTGTTGATGGGCGTTTTTCTGATGGGTGTGCAGTGGAAACGTGCAACGTGTGGGGGCGCGACAAGGTCTGAGCTGGCGAGGTTCCGTGTCTTCAAGCGAGTGGGCGGTGTCGTTCATTACAATTTGGGCATGTTGCAAGCCTGTGTGCCTCGGATGTGGGGGTCTGTGGGTGAGGGTCCGCAGGAGGAGGCGGTATGTGGGCCTGGTGCGTACAATGGCGTACGTGCTGCACTTGCAGTTAGTGGAGCCCAAGGCTGGCCAATGGCACGCCGTTTGTCCCCCTGGCAAACACGCAGAGAAAACACCACGCCAATCGGACAAGCCCCGCTTGAAAGCCCCTTTTCTAGCCCCACCCCACGTCCCAGCCTGCCACCTTGCCCGCCCCGCGCTCCGGTACGCCGGTAGCGGTCAGCAGCAAGACTGAACACACAACACCCCCCCCCTTATCTCACCCCGCCACCTCGCGGCCGCCGCCACCCCCGCAGCACGTGGGTCACCATCAACAGCGAGACCCGCAAGCTGGCGAAGCTCCCAGAGGACGTCCGCACCCGCTGGCTGACCCTCGCGCCCTCGCCGCCCCGCTCCGCGCTGCCGGCCGGCGTCACCAAGCGCAAGCTGCAGGACTTCCCCGAGCAGCCGGCGCTGAGCGGGCCGCTGGTGTCGGCGCGCCGCAGCGACATGGACCCCAACGGGCACATCAACAACGTGTGCTACCTGTCGTGGGCGCTGGAGGCCGTGCCGCCGCAGGTGTATGCGGGCTACGACCTTTTGGAGGTGCGGCGGCGGGGGCGGGGGCGTAGGTGTAGCTGTTGGGATGCAGCCAGAGGGGATGCGGCCTGTGAGGGGGGATGGCGAGTGAGATGGGTTGCGAGCGCACGGGCGAGCGCAAGAGAGAGATTGAGAGAGAGTGTGTGTTTGTGAGAGAGAGAGAGAGTGTGTGTGTGTGTGTATGTGTGTGTGTGTGTGTGGGTGTGTGTGTGTGCGTACGACGCGCAAGCGTGATTGTGCACACGTTGCATTGCGGATGTGCCTGTGTTGACACCCTGAAGCTAGTCAAGCGTGTGAGCACACAGTGCACCGAGGGTGGCGATGGGCGGAATTGTCAGGAACCCTGTTTGCTGCCAGGCAGCCGCAGAGCGCGGCCCTGACCCTGTCCTGCTCTCTCGGCCGATTCAAACGGGCCCCGTGACAGGTGGAGATGGACTTCAAGGCGGAGTGCCACGAGGGCGATCTGGTGGAGGTGCTGGGGCACCCGCTGACAGACGTTTCAAACGGCAACGGCTGCGCCCAGCAGTTCCTGCACCTGCTGCGCAAGCACTCGGACGGCGGCAGCGGTTCGGAGGTCTGGCGCGCGCGGACGACGTGGGTGCCCAAGGGCAGCCGGCAGCAGTAGACGCTTGAGGCTGGTGAGGTCGGCGCCCTGGGCCCTGCATGGGCTGACCCGTCATGCACATCACCAGCAGCAGACACAGCAGCCGGCAGCGGCCGCTCGCCTCAGCAGCAGGCGCGGAACGTTTTGCGCTCGTCGAGTCACGCCGCCGCAGGACTGTTGCGGACGGCTCGAGCCCATGACCAACGGCACGGCGTGGGCAAAGCGCGGCCGGGCGGCCGCGACAGGCTGCAGCTGGCTGTGCTGTCCCTCGCCGCCGTTGCTGCCGCGGCTCAGCTGCTGCCAGCGCCACGCCGGCTGCTGCCCATGCGCACCTTTTCGCGCTTGGAAACCTGAGCTCAAACAGCTGCGGGCGTTGCCACGTGTGCCTGGCAGCGTGATGGAGAATGAATGGTTGCTCGCTTCGCTCGTCCTCATGCAATTCAACAGACGGCGCGGCTGCCCGCCTGCCGTGCGCCGTGCGCCGCGGCGGCCCCGCGCCAAGCAGAGCCAGGCATGTCAGTTGGAAGCCGGCGCTTGCCGGCGGCGCCGCGCGCGTGCGACCCCTGACTCAGGCCTTGGCGCGTAACTCTGCCGCTGCTGGCCGTGCGTTTGCGGCAGGGGTGCGCGGCTCGCCGCGGTGGCCCGGCAGCGAATCGCCGACGCCGTCACCCATCAAAAACACCAGACTCCTTGCAATTCGATTGGTTGCCGTGCTGTTTGGGCCGTGTCACAGCCGGCGTGTCCCGTCCCAGGCGCGGCCACCGGGACCGGTGTGGCGCGCTCTGCTTGCACCTGCCGCCCGCGAGGCGGCGCCCTGACGCACTGAAGGCGTCCCCCTTGCGCGCGCACGCGTGCGCTTCGGTGCAACCCGTTGCGCTGCCGCTGCTGTTGGGCTGCGTTGTTGTTGCGGCGGCCGTTGGTGGGTTCTGGGGTGCGCGCCTCCGCCGGTCGTGCCTGTGCGCGCGGGAGCGGCGCAACCCTCAATGTATGTATATGCCTGACTGCGGCGCTGCCGCAACCCCCCACCCCAAAGCGGGGGCCACGCGTGTCAGACCAGCTTTCAAAAGTCCTTTGTGAATCCCTGTTGTGCGCCTTTACAAGCCCCAAATCGTACAGCGCATGGGCCCCGCCCCGGCCGTGCTGCCTGTGTGGATGTCGCCTTTTTCGGGGGTCGGCCCTGCCGTCTGCATGTCACGTCAGCAGGAGGCACAAGGACAGGCGCAGCAGCGTCCAAGCCTTTCTAAGAGGCTGGCAGGGGTGGCGGCCGTCGCAGGCGCCACGCGGGCCCCTAGCCGCGTCGCGAACGCCGCGCTCCATCTCTACCATAAGCGCGCATGTAGCACGAGCATGCGCTGCGGCGCTGCGTTCTGCCTCTGCTCTGCTGCCGCGAGCCGTGACCGCCCGCCCATTTTTCCACTGCCTGCAAAGCAATTGGGTGGCGCGGGCTGGCCCCAGGGTTGACACACACTGTTTCACAAGAGGTTCCCTGTGCGTCCCTTTGCAGCCATGCCCGGGCGCACTGAGTAATCTGACGCGGAAGCCCGTCACCAGTCACGCCGACAGAGAGGCAGATTTGTTCCACCCTGCGGTCGCAAGTGCGTGTGCAGGAGCAAGTAATCTGGCCATGCAACAGGGGGTACGTGCCTTTGTCGGGGCGCGGCGGCTGGCTGGGTGGCGTCGCTCTTGCCACCACGCCTGTGCGAACTGCACGCCCAACTGCCTCATCCACAGCAGCACTCTGATACATCGCCCTTTGCGCCCACCTGGGCAGCGCTGCGGCAGCACTCACAGCTGGAAAATATATGCCTGTCATAATCGGGAACGTGGAGAGGTTGGACCGCCCGAGCTGCAGCAATTCTGCATCCATTGGCCAGGCCAAACTCACTGCCGATGGGGATTGCCCCAGGCATGTGAGCTTGGCCAGCGCCGCCCGGTGGGGGCTGCTTCGAGCGGATCAAAACACGAGTGCAAACACTTTGGTATTACGCACGCCCTTAACCAGCGCAAGCCGTGGGTGCACTACGGTGCGGCCAGAGGCCTGCTATCACCAGCTTCCGCAACAGCCGAGGGCCCTCCGATCGCTCAGCACCCTCAACCCTGTGGTGTTTGTTTGAGAAATTGCATGTGTGCTTGCTGTGGTAGGCAGAGTAGCAGCTCGCCAAAATATCCTCGACTGGCGTGGGGCACAAAGCCCGGCAGGCGGGGGCCGGGGCGCCCTCAGGCCACCAGTCGAGAAGCTCAAGCATGTGGAGCGAGCCAGATTCGCTGCCCTGGCGGGAGCAGGCCGTGAAAAGCGCCCAGTGGTCGTCCCAGGTGAGCGCCCCTCTGCGGGGTGTGCTGTGATATCTTCACGGTGGAAATATCACATGGACTGTTGAGAGCGCCTCCGCGATCGGCATCACCCAGGCGTGATCCAAGCCTCTGTTGTTTCCTTCGCAGCCCTCCCCTGCCCCGTACATCCACCGAGATGATATGGACACCGTCGACAGCACATCTAGCTCCCTGAACTCCGTTCAATCAGCTGTCCACGGGACCCCTGAGGAGGACCTCTCATCGCTCCTGCCCAGCGACCCGTGCCCCGCCGCGCCCGGCCCACCCGCACCCGGCCTGCTGCGGCAAGCCAGCGACGCTCTCAGCGTCCGCAGCCTGCACGCCGGCGACGATGCAGACGACTTCACTGAGCCCTTGACGGCTCTGTTTGAGGAGGAGGAAGAGGCGGAAGCTGAGGTGCGCGTCCACCCCGCGCGCGCCGGCGCGTGGGGCGCTCGGGACCACCCTCGCAGCCATGCGCGCGCCCGCCCTCCCTCCCCGCACGAGGCTGCACAATTGGGCGGGTGCGGGGCTGTTTTGGGCTCGTGCGCGACCAGGCGGCACAGGCGCTGGTGCGGGTGGTGCGATATTGCTGGCGCCCCAGATTCCATTACTACCCTCTGCAGGGCAATTATCTGGGGGGTATCTGCGAGCGCCGGGTCATCCCCCTGCCCTGCGCCCCCAGCCCCTCCTCCACC